GAGCCATAACAGGGAAAGAAGGAGTCTTTTCCTTTAAGGCACATCTTGATGATAAGCTGCTTAATTCCACCTAGAGATGGTGGAATGAGGTAAAGGACAACCCTTTCAAGAGCCCACAGGCAGGACAAACAGAAAATCTGAAGGTCAAATGTAGACAGAGGGAGAAAGGTAAACTCACACTGTGCATACTCCTTCCGAAAAATGTAGAGATTTGGGTTTACATAGGAGAAGAGTCCAGAGAGGTTAGGATGATATCCTGTTTAAGGTGGAAGTAGGAAACTACCCTAGGGAGGAGGGATGCTCAGGGCCTCAAAACAACCTTTTGCGACGCCTTGAACACAGGTTCAGGTATTGGGAATGGCCAGTGGTTTTTAAAAGAGAATGGCCAGTGTCGAGTCTTGACCCTTCACAATGCTTAACCCCTTCATGATCGGGGTCTAAACAAACACCCAGACCCAATTTTGCAAATTTGGCATGTAGTAGCAAAAATGTACATATGATCACAACTACTCTGTGTATCGAGGTGAATTATACCTTTTTTGTGGGGTTTTTTCAGCATAAATTGGGTTTTTATTTGGTGCTAAATATAACGAATAACTTCATATATTTTTTTATCAAAGGAAAACTGTCCCAAAATAGTAAAAAAAAACATATTTAAATTAGCTGTATATTTCTTACTAATACCATAACTTACTGCCAAAGAACAGCCCAAAATAAATTCTGCAAATTTTGCTTTTTTTTTAAATCCTATTTAAAACACACTGACACTTTTACCAATTTAAAAGATGCTATTTTTTTTACACCAATCTTTGACCCTGATCTTGACCTTAACACTGTTCCTGACACTAACCGAGATGAACTCTTGATCTAGCTATTTTTTTATAAATGTTTTAATTATTTTTTTAATTTTTTCTTGTTTTTTTTCACAGGATTTTTTGTTTGTTTGCATGTTTCTCCCCTGGCAAGAAGGCAAAGATACAATATATCTTTCGCTCCATTCAGAGGTGAGAAAAAAAAAACCCAGGGGTCGGCTGCACATTGACTGATAACTGCTAGCCTATCAGAGGCTATGACAGCAATCAAGTGATTACATATGGAGCACTCAGGTTTAACCCTTTCACTGCCAAGTCCATACGGCGTACAGACCTACAGTGAAAAGTCTCCCTTCTGCTATAAGCTTATGGTCACTTTGCTGAACAAGCCAATATCTGATTAGCAGCTAACAAGCCGCTGATCAGTTATTCACTTAAAAATTCACTTAAAAGGTGAATCCCCAGCCCACTGCTGCTTCTCTGTCTCTCTCCCCCTGCTTCCTGCTGCCCCTCCACATCCCTACCTTAGCTGCTAAAATGCAACCCCCCCCCCCCCCCCCCTTACTACTGTCCCCTTCCTATGCTTCTCTTATCGACCCCGGCACAAATATCCTCCCCCAGAACCACCCCCGCCAACACCAATTTGCGGTGGCTCCAATGTATATGCATAGCAAAACCTGATACATTCATGCTTAGCTCTTCTGCGATTATTGAGCTTAGCTCTCCTGTGATACTGGAGCTTGCATCCTCAGCTGTATTAGGACTGGGGCCTTCTGCCATGATAGGGCTGAGCTCCTGTACAGTAATAGAATTCTGATCCTCTGTAAGACTTAAGCAGAACTTTTCAGCAAGGCTAGAATTTGGCTATTTGAACTGACTTCTGTAATTTTATAATAGACATCTTCAGTAAAGCTGAGCAGGGCATGAGCTAGACTGAATAAACAGAATTAATGACACCATTGGTTTCAGGGAACAGTTCCTCATTGGAACATTTTTTGCCATGTGTGGATCGTTTTTTCTAGTTCTTCGTTGCCCAAATGATCACTTTAAACGTCAGAATGGATTTCACCTAAATTTAAAAGCGATAAACCTTAGATAAATACTATTGCACAGAGCAGCCCCGAAACTGCTCTTATGGGGTCCCCCACCTGCGTTCTAGGTTTCTCTTCACTGAGTGCCCCCATTGCAAGTCGCTTGCTATGGGCCCACTTGTTCAAACTTGATCCCAAACCAAGCTGTGTGTGTCTATAGACACACACAGAGCAGCACGGCCCTGCTCCCTCCTCACTGGATTTGACTGACAGCAGCAGGAGCCAATGCTCTCAACCAAGCCCATGAATCCGGGAAGAGAGATCAGGGTCAGGACAGCGCTGGATCAAGAGTGGTGGCAAATAAGTGTTAAGGTGTGGCGAGGCACTGAACATGGAAGGTTTTTTTACTTTAAAGTAGAACTACAGGCAAAATTATTTCTATTTTTTTTTGACTGCTATATTCTTTCTATTTTATTCTGTTTGAATTTGAGAAGCCTGCTATAATCCTATTTTATTAAATAACAAAAAAAAGTGCAACGCTGGATAGTGTGAAAAACAATCAATTCATCCAAAAGTTCATGCTAATTAGTGTTAAAGTCCAACAAGAATGGAAAAAAAAAAACATTCAATGCATCAAGAAAGGAGGAAGATGACACTTATATAATCTTGGTGAAAAATAACAGGCATGCAAGAGCTCTTACCAGAGCTATTGGGCTTTTATATTAAAAAAGCCAACAGCACTTAGGGGGTTAACCCCGCACGACTCTCTGGTTTATGGTGCAGAGATAGTTGTGTCCTTGGAAAAATAGTGAAGTATGCCCAATACTTAAAACTTTCTTAAATGTAAACTAATACACTCACACGTGAAGCTCCATCCAATGCATTTTGTCATCAATTGACGTAGTTAGTAACTGTTTTGATCGTTTACTACTTCATATATCAGTTTGATTCCTACACCATATTCCTGGTGCTTAAACGAATCCTTACTTACCTATCCCAAAAGTTTCTCAAGATATCTCTAGTCATAATTGAATATTTTTCATTAAACAATACCCCTGATATTTCTATCACTACAGTACTTTATGGACTGCAAACAAAGCTATGCTACGAGGTAAAACTATCGGCATAAAAGCAGCAAACAAAGAGAGGCTTGCCTACGTTCACTCTCTCACTAAAAAATTAGGTGATTTGTATAGATCACACCCGGATCGCACCCTGCAGATATCGTACAGCTGTTTTCTTCGATTATGGTTGGACTCATTGCTGAATTAGACAGCTGAGAAAGCCTTGTGCTGGTCAAGAGCTAAGTTTCTGTTGCACAGTAATTTGGCCTCTTTCATGTTTGCCAGAAAATGTACTCAGTCATTATGCCCCCCTCATATTTATAAATTACAAACCCCCACAGGGCAACACACCACTCATCCTAAGGAAGTTCTGTAGAGATTATGTAAAATTTCTATTCTACTTTACTCTCTTTCCCAGCATCCCCCTCTCCTCCAAACACTACTTCATGGTTTGCTAATATACCCAAATTTGACCCCCTACTCCAATTACCAAATTGAATGCCCCCATTACAGATAAAGAGGTCATAGATACTATTAAATCTTTGAAACAATCCTCGGTACCTGACACAGACGGGTTTTCTAATGGCTATTATAAAACATTTTCTAAAACATTAACCCCATATTTAGTTTCTTAATATAATTATATAGTTTCTATGTATAACTGTATAGTGCAAGGGCATGACTTCCCAGTGGAAATGTTACAGGCCAATATGTCCCTTCTCCCTAAACTTAATAAGGATCACTCTTTTCCCCAAAACATATGCCCTATTTTGGTAATAAATACTGATTTAAAACGTTTTCAGTCGCATCCTAGCAGACCGCTTAGCCTCTGTTATCCCATCTTTAATTTCCCCATATCAAGGTGGCTTCATCCCTCATAGACAGATTACTGACAACCTCAGGTTGGCAATTAATATTATCCAAGATGCCAAAAAATTTTTCTGAAGAAGTTCTACTTTTAAGTCTAGACATTAATAAGGCCTTTGATAGTGTCTTGGGAGCAGGGGCGGACTGACCATTTGGAAACTCGGGCATTGCCCGAGGGCCCGGGGGTCAGTAGGGGGCCCCATGAGATGCCCCTGGTACCTTTTTCATAGGCTTTTTTGAGTTTGGGCAAGGACACAGGGGCCCCATGATCCCCTATTGCCCGGGGGCCCCATGTGTTGTCAGTCCGCCCCTGCTTGGGAGTATCTCTCTATACTCCTCCGTAGATATGGTTTTTCAGGGCTCATTTCGGCATGGATTCCAGGCCTTATACACCTCACCAAACACACGAATTCGCCTCCCTGGCTGTATGACTGGATTTTTCCACTGAAAAGGGACACGAGACAGGGGTGCCCTTTGTCACCCCTTCTTTTTGCCCTAGCTATCAAACCTTTGTCCACTGCAATCATTTCCTCACCCATACTTCTCTGGTTACTTAGAAGGCCCTGACAATTTCAAGTTTTGTTTTTATGCAGACAATGTGTTACTTTTTTTTTAACACAGCCACTGATCTCTTTACCGAATTTGTTGACAAGTTTGGAAACTTTTGCTTCCCTGACAGGCCTTCCTATTAACTTCTCCAAATCAGTATCAATGCCTATTAATATCACGCCTCCCAGGCACGTAACCTTTAAGGAGAAATTTATCTTTGTTTGGTTTTCTTTGATCCCTTATTTGGGCATTAATCTTACAGCAGACTTTCAGACACTGGTCCAACATAACTACATCCTGGTGGTTTCTAAAATCAAACAAACTCTACGTGCATGGTCTTCCTTTTGGATCTCTTTTCTGGGACGCGGTCAAGATGACAATCCTTCCAAAATGTATCTATTTATTTTGGGCCTTGCCTTTTCCATTAACTAAAGCTTACTTATGCTTCCTGCAATCAAATTTGAACACACTTGTATGATATAATAAACCCCCATATTTTTCGCTCCATAAGACGCACCTGACCATAAGAAGCACCTAGGTTTTAGAGGATGAAAACAAGAAAAAAAAATATTCTGAACCAATGGACTGCAGACATAGTACAGGAGATGACCAGAGACTGCAAACAGAGTACAAGAGATGACCAGAGACTGCGGACACAGTACAAGAGATGACCAGAGACTGCGGACACAGTACAAGAGATGACCAGAGACTGCGGACATAGTACAGGAGATGCCCAGAGACTGCGGACATAGTACAGGAGATGCCCAGAGACTGCGGACACAGTACAGGAGATGACCAGAGACTGCGGACATACTACAGGAGATGACCAGAGACTGCGGACACAGTACAGGAGATGCCCAGAGACTGTGGACATAGTACAGGAGATGCCCAGAGACTGTGGACATAGTACAGGAGATGCCCAGAGACTGTGGACATAGTACAGGAGATGCCCAGAGACTGTGGACAAGGTACAGGAGATGCCCAGAGACTGCGGACACAGTATAGGAGATGACCAGAGACTGCAGACATACTACAGGAGATGACCAGAGACTGCGGACCTTTGGGGAGCAGAGAGGGGGAGCGGGTACCTGAATTTGACAGGTACCTGTTCTCACTCCACGGAGTTGTCCTCCCACCCCATCTTCTGGGACACGTGACAGGTCACAGCGGTTTGTCCCACAAGACTTTGGGGGGGAGGGGGTAGGAGGACAACTTCCATTTCTGATCGCCTAGGCGATCACAGCGAAAGTGGGAGCTGGTACCTGTCAAATTCGAGTAGCTGTCCCCCCCCCCGCTCCCCAAAGGTGCCAATCGTTAATGGGGACCAATCTTTAAAGCGGAACTTCCCCTTTTGGGTGGAACACCGCTGTAAGGAAAAAATGTTTAGGCTTTAGATCCTCTTCAAAGAAAACTAATGCAGACACCACAACCAATGATTGGTAAACTGAAATATATAAAATTTTGGAGTTTAATACTGCTTTACACAAATTATTTGTGAACCTATTAAAAAAATGAATCTGCTGCCTCACAATTAGAAGCAGCATTGGCACTATTTCAGTTATCATTAGGATGCCCATCAGGTCTATGCATATTTCCTGCAGACCTGATAGGCAGCCCAACCCAACTGAATGAGCTCACAAAGCAAGCTGACAATGTGGCTTTGAGGTAACAGATTAGCATGTCCAGCCTGCAAGAGGATGTGTGAATACTGGCAGGTTCTCCATATAAGAAACCTTTCCTAAAACTGAACTCGAGGCAAATATAAAATGTTAATATAAAAAATTAACGCAGTTCTGTAACCATTAACACATCAATACATGTATCTGTAAATTCAAGTAGTGTAATACCTGAATGGAACCTGGTATCAGCCTTTTCCAGTCTCTGAACAGCAGGGCTGTAGTGTGAGAGGAAGAAGCAGCAGTAGGTGTCAATCAGTTCTGGTGCTGACAAAAAGCATGCTGATAGAAGTAGAAGAAAGCAGAGTGACAAAAAGATGAGCTTTTCACTGTATTGCTTCTCCTTCTACTGTCCAGTAACAAGCTGGGAAGGGTCCAGGACAAAGGTGGGCTCAGCAGAAGTGGGTTAAATAATGCTGGCCATAAGACTGAGGACATCTTAAGAGCAGAAAAAAAAATACTGCAGAAAAAATCTTTGGATTAAAGAATAATTTTGCAGTATTGTGCCCAGTGATCAGGTAGTTTTACAGTTGCCTAAATCACTTCTACCAGAAAGCCCAGATTCTGCAGAAAAAAAAACAAGCTGATGGCCGGGATTTGCAACTGTAATGTTGTGTGAACCCTTTGATTGGCATGACGTGTGGGGCATGTTACACTATTGGCAGTCAAAGGGATAAACAGAAAGCAAACAAGATTTCCCTTACTTGAGTTTCTTCTAGTGTTTAACATGTATTGATTTTCAGTGCCATATGGTAAAAAAAATTAACTAGTGCAGAGTAATATTTTAATCTCCTTTAGAGCCAGCAGGTGGAGCTCTAGTCTCCATTTCACATCACAGACTTTCTGCAAACCTGTTCTGGGTCAGTGACTTGGTTTTGTAACCAAAGACAGCCAGGCTAATAGCATTTGCATGAGATGGTGAGCAAAGCAGGCTTACATATTCCTCTCATAATAGAAAATATTTTCCTAAACATTTACAGTCAGATTAGGAAACATTTGTGTCCTTTAGGCCTTTCTCGATGCCTTTGTTATGCAGATACTTTGGCTTCAATACTTTTCAGGCTTCTTCACACTGGTGACAATGCTTACAGCCCTCTGAAAAGTAATCCACAGTGGACTGCTTTTCAGAGGGTGATAAAGCAGCGGCTAGCAGCCATTCAGGAGGTGCTGCTGCAATGCAGCTTCAAGCCATTAGATTGGCTTGTAGTTGTGGTGTGGTCCCACTGATCTCAATAGGTGAATTTGACAGGCAGTCAATCTCTGCAGACTGAGGTAAAATTGCCATGGCTGCATGTGGCAGCATGTGTACAGTCCTGTGGGGCTGCAATGTTAGTACTCAGGAGGGCAACAAGGATGGCGGTAAAACCATGGCCTGTTTTTTCTGTGCATATGAAAGGGCCATTAGTCCCCGACTGGGAACAATCATATACAAGATATAATGGTTTAGGTCTTCTATTGAACACTCATTTGCTTATTTTAGGTTTAAGACTTGGGAGCACTGAAGCCAGACACGGACCAGAAACTAGCATTTTCACAAGAACCTCAGCAATGACAGCCTTTATAATTTCTTTCATGATAGGTGTATTCTGAGTCTTCCGGGATGCAGGTTGTAATAAGAAGCAGACCATACTTACTTTATTGTATGAGATAAACAGCTGTTGAGCAAAGTAATATACGCTGTTTGATATCATAAAATTTACATGACAGGTATAACATGACTGGGGTGTGTGAAAGGTATTTTGTTCACCAGTGCACCCATCACAGCACTTTCACGTCTACTGTTCAGTACATAACAATGGTCCATACAACCTGGAAGAGACTAGTGAGGCAAGAAGCTTATTCAGAGATTACTTACAAGCCCTCTCTGTCAGGGGTGTATTTACAACAAGGCAAACAAGGCATTTGCCTAGGGCGGCTTTTTTTTTAGGGAGGCAGCACTGCCCCAAGAAGAAGGGGCATATGTGGCATGAGGACCAGGTGGGATCTGAGAAAGGCTGTGGGCTGCTTGATGGTGTATACAGAGCCCAACTGGAGTCCCTGGAGATGGCCACATCTGTGAAGGTGAGTGTCTTTCTCTCTGTCGCTGGGGTGTTGGTGTTAGTGGAAGGCTCTCTTTAGTGGGGGGGGGATGGGGCAGGGGTGTTGTTGGTCACTGTCAGGTTCTCTCCGGGGGGGGGGGTTGGACCAGGTTGGTAGGTGTCAGGCTCTCTTCGTCAAGGACGGGGGGGTGTCCAATTTTTGTGTTGCCTAGGGCAGCACAAAACCTAAATACACCACTGCTCTCTGTCACTCGAGAATTGACAGAATCAATCAAATCAGACAAATGTAACATCTCGTCTCTACCAGCAGGGTTAGTCATGAGAAATTTTGGCGCACATGGTTATACTGGACCATGTTTACTAATACCCTTTAGTAGACAACATTCCTACACAGAGACCCCGCCGCACTCTGCACAGATATAACTGCTACCAATGGATAGTAGGTGGGATTTTTTTTTTCTTTGTGCTTAAAGTGTTACTAAACCCAGGACCCTGCATTCGCTATATCTGGTCTCACTATATCTGGAGTGTCACTTTAAGATTTGACATACATTTACAGTGCTCAGCATAAATGAGCACACCCCTTTTGAAAATTTCCAAATTTTGACAAAACTGAGTTTTATAGAACATTTGTTTAGCTCATTACATGAGCTTTTTTTCAGATCCTCAGAGAGTTCTTTGCCATGAGGTGCCATGTTGAACTTCCAGTGACCAGTATGAGAGAGTGAGAGCGATAACACCAACTTTACCACACCTGCTCCCCATTCACACCTGAGACCAGGTATCACTAACAAGCCACATGACACCAGGGAGGGAAAATGGCTAATTGGGCCCAATTTGGACATTTTCACTTAGGGGTGTACTCACTTTTGTTGCCAGCGGTTTAGACATTAATGGCTGTGTGTTGAGTTATTCTGAGGGGACAGCAAATTTACACTGTTATGCAAGCTGTACACTCACTACTTTACATTGTAGCAAAGTGTCAGTTCTTCAGTGTTGTCACATGAAAAGATATAATAAAAATATTTACAAAAATGTGAGGGGTGTACTCACTTCTGTGAGATACTGTAGCTACTGAATCACTTTCACCCTGTTCTTCAGAAATCAGAAAACAGTGGTCTTAGATATGTTTTGGATCACTGTCATGTTGGAAAAGTTAACGACGACCAAGGACATGGAGTGACCGTAGCATCTTCTCTTTCAATATAAAGCAGTACATCTGTGAATTCAGCATACCATCAATGAAATGCAGCTCCCTGACACCAGCAGCACTCATGCAGCCCCACAGAAGGACATTTTCACCACCATTCTTTACTGTAGGCACCATGCATTCTTCTTTGTACTCCTCACCTTTGTGACTCCATACAGTTTTGAAGCCATCAGTTCCAAAAACATTTATCTTGGTCTCATCACTCCAGAGTACAGAGTCCCAGTAGTCTTCTTCTTTTTCAACATGGGTCCTGGCAAATTGTAGGCAGGCTTTTTTGTGCATGGGCTTTAGGAGAGGCTTTTTTTAATGGATGACACCTATGCATACTATTCCTCCTGCAGTGTACGCCGTATTTTAGTCACGGGAAACAATCACCCCAGTTTGGCTTTATACTTCTTTAGCTAACTGCTGTGAACTTGCATGGTGCTTTTCTTCAACCCTTCTCATCAGAAGATGCTGCTGTCAAGGTGTTAACTTCAGTGGATGGCCTAACATCTCTGTGAAATTGTTGCAGTTCCATCTTTGTTAAATTTGTGTATCACTTTTGCTACAGTATTCTGACTGATAAGTAAAGCTTTGCTGGTCGTCTTGTAGCATTCACTTTTCTTGTGTAAAGAAATTATTTTCTTTCTCAGGCCTTCTGACATTTCTCTTCCATGTGGTGCCATTGCTAACAGCATAAAATGAGAGGGGTTTTCGTTGTTAAGTAATGCCCTTTTATAATCAACTGTCTGCTGAACACCTGTTTGATGATTAATTAGACTCACCTGTAGTTGAATTTTTGTAACCGTATCCCCACCGCCCTATAGCAGAAATACTGCTACAGGGCGGCATGGGTGCGCAAAATCACGTATATATACATGATTTTGCATTTCCTGGTAGGGGGCGCGTGTGAGCCGTGTGCACCCTACCCGCGCCGTCGTTCATGGCCACGGCTATCAATCGCTGGGTCCCGGCTAGTAATTACTCGCTGGCGCCCAGTGATTTCCAAAAATCACCGACGGGGAGAAGTACTGTTTTGTTTACAAACAGTTCTCCTCCCTGTCAGCTCGGGCACACTGCTCTGGATGGCTGTGAACAGCACAGCCATCCAGAGCAGTGTAATTACAGTGAAATACGCACACACACCGCCCCCCAGTAAAACACTCCCTGCAACTGCTTTGTGACCGCCCTATAGCAGAAATACTGCTACAGGGTGGCACAGATGCACAAAGTCACACACATATATATATATAT